CTTGAAGCCGGCTACACCCACGTGCGTATTTCCGACATTGTGAATTTCTGATGGCGCGTTCTAATTAACGTCGCGACTCCAGTTCGACTCGGCAGCCTTCTACGACAACGAAGACGGCGCGGGCAGAGCCATCCGCACCGGCACCAAGCTCCCGCGCGAGCAGATTTTCTTCACCTCCAAGGTGCCGCCCGGAAGCGTGTCGTACGACGGCGCCAAGGCGACCATCGACCAGACGCTCGCCAAGTCGGAGCTCGGCTACGTGGACCTGATGCTGCTGCACGCGCCGTACGGCGGGTCGGCGAACCGCAAGGGCGCGTGGCGCGCCCTGGTCGAGGCCGTCGAGGCCGGCAAGGTGCGCAGCATCGGCGTCAGCAACTACGGCGTCCAGCACCTCGACGAGCTGGAGCGGCACATTGCCGAGCTCGAGGCCGAGCGCGGCGGCCCCGGCAAGGGCGGCGTGCTGAGCGCCGGCCAGTGGGAGATCCATCCCTGGTGCGCCCGCCGCGACATCACCGACTGGTGCGCCGCGCGCGGCGTCGCCGTGCAGGCCTACACCCCGCTCGTCCGCGGCAAGCGCTGGGGCGACCCGGCGCTCAAGAAGCTCGCCGACAAGTACAACAAGTCCGAGGCCCAGGTCCTCATCCGGTGGAGCCTGCAGAAGGGCTTTATCCCGCTCCCCAAGAGCGTCACGCCCGACCGCATCCGCTCCAACGCCGACGTCTATGACTTTGCCCTCACCCCTGAGGAGGTCGCCGGCCTCGAGACGGACGGCTACGCCCCCGTCGCCGGCTGGGATCCCACCGTCGCGCCGCTTGAGGCTTGAGGCCGATGAATACATTTCGGGGGGGATATTGTTGCCACCCTTGGTCGGATCGTGTATGTATCGAGGCGGTGAATAAATGCGGATTTGCATTCATAATTTATCGCAAATAATTATATGACGTGATGGTTGTTCGATGTGGGCTTCAGTTGACAAACGAGGCCGTCATTCGTTTCCACCCTGCCCCGTGCTGGACATAACCCTGTTCCTCCGAGTCCGCCGGGTCTCTCGGTCTCTTCAGCGGCGACCTCGGCTGCACGGCGCTGCCCACGGGCTGTCCCGGACGCCACGGCGACTGCGCAATGGGCTTTGCCGCGCTCGGGCACGCGCTCTCGAGCTTCGCCGCGAGCATGTGGTTGTACGGCGAGAACCCCGGCACGCTCTCGGCCCGCTCCAGGAAGACGTTAACGGCCCTGGCGATGAGCTGGCCCTGGCGGTGGTTGAGGCGTAGCCAGTACGGTTGGACAACGTGGTCCAGACGCAGCCACAGAAGCCGCATCATCCACGTCGCGGCCTGCTGGTCGTTGTTACTGCTGCTGGTGCTGCTGCCGGTAATTTTAGCCTCGCACAAGGCGGCGTACAAGCTGTTTGCGCTCATCTGCGCCTCCAAGCACGGCAGCTCGCGGTCGCGGCTGCCGAGATCGACTCGCGACAGCACGTAGCCGAGCTCGCCTACGTAATCGTCGGCACAGTCGACCAGCTGCTGCACGGTGAAGACGGCGAGCAGCAGCCGCGCCCAGAACGGAATGCATGCTATCGGGGCGCGCGATCTGGGCTTTACCGCGTCCTGGTAGAGTACTATGGCGCTGGGATCTGCGCCGAACCGCACGAGCAGCCTGAACACGCCCTTGCGCAGCGCCTCGGCGAACTGACCGGCGCCGGGACCAAGCTTCACCCGCCCATCCGCGTCTAGCGTCAAGACGGGCACTATCTGCCCCGCGAACCACGACCATGGCGTTTCGTATGACCCGTTGCCGGCGCCCTGGTAGCGCTCGTTGAGATCGTGTCCCGCGGCCAGGAGACGGTGGAGGAGCTCGAGGCGCCGCGGCGGCCACGCCTGCGTGTGGGTCTGCGTCTCCATCTCCGTCTCGGAACTGCTGCCGGCGTTGGCTGCTGCTGCTGCTACTGCCGCCGCCGTCTCGTTATTTTCGTAGCCAAGGAGGTAGCTGAGTGGCGGTGTCTGGAACCCGCCGAAGTACTCCGCGTCCCTGTCGAGCTTCCTGCCCACGTAGCAGTATAGCCGGGCCTGAAGCACGTACGCACGGTACTGGATGTCACCGGCCCGCGTGCTGGTTTTTCTGTTGTTTCTGCTAGGGTTCCTGTCTGACGGGAGGTCTGGGCTGCTGGGTACAGTTTTCTTCAGGGTGGAGTCATGGATGGTCTGGACTGCCAGGTCTAGGTCGTCTAGGAGATCCTCTGTCCTCGTGGCTATTCGAGACGATCCGTTGTGATCAGGATACGAGTGGCACGCGTAGGCTAGGGCGCGGACTACGAAGTGTTCGAGACGCTCGACCGCCTGCGCGTAGATATCCGTGCTTGCCTTTAGCCTTGTCAAAGGAAACCCGAGGTGGGTAGATGGATCGGCAAAGTCGACGTGCTTGATCCAGGCGACTTGGGCCTGGAAGGTGGAAAAGTGGGGGTTAAAGTTGGGCCGTGTCTTAGAGGCGATGTAGTCGTACATGTCTCGCGTTCGCAGGAAGTCGCTGACGGTGCGGTGCAGGAACTCGACTTGGCCGCGGTGGATCTCCAGCAGGCCCTGGCAGCGCGAGTTGAGGCGGCGCGAAAAGCGCTCGTTCAGGCTGTCGAACCGCTTGTGGTCCCAGGGCTCGACGGCTTCCTGCAGCGCGTACGACGCGTCGTCGTACTCGAGGTCGTGGAAGATGTAGAGCTCCTGCGGGAGGGGCGCGTGGGCGGCTAGGGCGATGCGCAGCGTCCCCGCCATCTTCTCGTGGTAAAAGGGCTCGACCGACTCGATGATGTGGTGGAAGAAGTCCTCAAGGTCTGAAGGCAGCGTGTCAAGCCGCTTGTGCAGATCCGCCAGGGTGTCGTAGTTGGTCAGCCCCCTGTGGAGGAGCTTGGTCACCAGGTATACCCAGAGGAAGACTCCCTGCGCCCGGTTGACGATCTCGTCGACCAGCGACTGTGCGCCAGCCGTGCTAGAAACGAGCCTGTCCCAGCCGGGGTGCGTGGGCAGCTGCGCCTCGACGTAGTTGCGGATGTCGCAGCGCGTCAGCTCGTGCATCATGACGCGCGCTGCCGAATCGCCGCCGCCCAGCTGCTCCTCAAACACATTCCACGGCCGGCTCGAGACGCACATTTTGATTCTGGGCGAGCTGCAGAGCCGCTTGAGTGTCTGGCACATTTCGGCGTGGTCGCCGTTGAACTCGTCGAGCCCGTCGATGAAGAAGCAGAATCTGGCGGGGAGGTTCTCTTGGGCTGCCATCCGTGACATGGCCTCTTGCAGCTCAGTCAAGGTCCAGGGAACGACTCTGTTGTCGCCCGCAAACCCCGACGTGGGCGCCTTCCGCAGCCAGCGCCCGGGGCAGGTCACGGGAATCAGCTCGGGCACCTGGCACAGTATGTCGAGCAGGAGAGACCGGAGAAGGCCCTCGTGTGACTTCTGTATAACTGTCCCGGCATACCAGAAGAAGTGCGAGGCCACAACGACATTTTCGGCTCCGGCCCCGGCCCCGGCCCCGGCCCCGGCCCCGGCCCACGCGGACAGGGCACGTCTCGTCTGCTCGTGGTCGGCAACGTATTTCATGAGTGTCGACTTGCCGGACCCGGGCTTCCCCGACACCCAGAACATGCCGCTACCAGATGCCAGCCATCGAGCGATGCGGGATTGCATGTCTTGCTCATCACACCCCAGCTGTCCCTGGTTAGGATCGAACACCCATGTAAACGTCGCCTGGTGGGCGTCATGTATCTTGTCGTGGCGCACTGGCCGGTGGCTGTAGTCGAGCGTAGCCAACACCTTCATCTCTTGGGCGTACCTCTCGCCCGTCAGCGACAGCTTTGAGATCTTGGTGGTCAGCGCGCCGACCTCATGCGACGACAGGCTGTTGTTTGCTCCCTGGCTCGAGTTGACTTTTTTGACTTGGTCGCGGATCTCTGCCAAGCTGGCAAGTAAACTGTGCAGGTCTTCAGACCTTTGCGAGTGCAGTCGGTGCGCCGCGTCTTGCAACTTGTGTACCTGCACACCGACTCTGTCGATGGCCTGGCTCGATACCGCACACAGCTCCAGCACCATCTGCCTCTGGTACCCGGCGATGCGGTCCTTGAGCGCGGCAATCTCGTTCTCCTTGGCCACCTCCTTGAGGGCAACGATGAAGCTGGTCCACCATTTCGGCGCCGTAGGAGAGCCCGCAGACCTGAGTTTGGAGACAATGGCCAGCAATGTGTCGCAGTCCCGCTTGCACTTTGCGGCGAGGCTCCTCAAGGCATCTCGACGCATCTGCAATGTCGTGAGTTCCCGGGGGGGGAGCATGGGCAGTTGTGTTGGTGGGGGGGATGAGACTGTTTGCTGCGGTGGGATTCGGGTCTCGAGGTCCCGGCTCAGGTCGGATAGCTTCTGGTGGATGTCCTCGAGAGCCTCGCTCTCGCGTGACAGCCCGCAAGCGCTGCTATAAATGCTCCGAGCATTGCTCAGTAAGCCCGACGCAAATTCAACAAACTGCACGACGGTCCCGGCAAGACTGAGGGCCGAAAGGGTATCCATCTGTGCGCGAAAAGGGACACGGCGCCTGGATGATAAAGCTACCTATGCAGCGAGAATAAAGTGCAAAGGGCAAGTCCCAAGCAGAATATTAGAGGCAAAGGCAGGTGCAATTCTTCACCGCTGCTGAGGAACGTGAACGCCACAGCACGCACAGCCCCCTCACCTAACACCCCCCCGGTCCTCGGCCATTGGGCGTCATGCACCCGCGTCTGCCTACCTCAGCAATGCACAAATCAGAACACGCGAAACCCCTGCATGGCCACGTTTTGAGAAGAAAAAAAGTGCCTCGCCAACGCCGGCTAGGCCAAAAGTACAAAACGAGGCATAGCAACGACTGGCAATATGACAACGGACGAAATACGGAGGGTAGAAAGGTGGGGAAGGGGAACAAGCAAAAGAAGCAAAAAAGAATACGAATATTTCCTTTAAGATTTGGATAAGAGGATCATACGGGAACTGAGCCCGACGTGGGGGTCGTACCCACAGCCTTGAGATGACATGTAAGAGTCTCACGCTCTACCGATTGAGCTAGCCGGGCTTGAACAATCGTACTTACTTGTCTTCGTTGGAGACTGTGAGCGGAATCCAGGCATGTACGGAGCCTGTTGAGCGGATCTACGTGGCAGAGTTTGTGGGTTTGTGAATCATCGTGGAGACGGAGTCCACAGTGATGCATCTCGCAAGTGACGCTGATTTGTGTGGGAATAGGGCTTGGTTGTCACGTGACAGAAACCTTTATCAAAGATGAACCTTCCCGGTATGGTTTAGACGGTAATTATCTTGTGGACCTGGCGGGTGTGGAGTGGGGAATACGGGCGCCGCCTCCAACATCATCAAGTGGAGGGAGTTGGCGTAGTTTTCAAGGGTCAACCACGTAAAGCGAAAGAGTTGGTATTGTCGGTACTGAAGACGGTCGTGGGTATCTGGAACCAATTATTACCCTTACCCCATCTACAACTTACTCCCAAGGTAAGTAATGCTAGTGTGCCTTCATGTTTGCGCCTGATGGTGGGTCTACTTTTATTGACTTTTGACTCTAGGGATACGACCACCGGTTAGTAACGTGGTTGTGCATGTCCTTTCTTCTTCTTCTTCGTCGTCTTCTTTCTTGCTTTCTACGGCCAACGCCAATATATTTCTACCTGCCTTGAGTGGGGGTTTCTAAAGGAGTTGTCTGTCTTCCATTTGTTGGTTACTTCATCCTGTCCTCGAGGTAAATTGGTTAATTTCTAATCCATGTGAGGGGAGATCATCAAGCGATGACTGAGAAGCAAGCCGTCATACGCTAGGATTAAATGTCAACGGGGATGCATTTACAATAAGAAGACAACATATCTTAATGACAGTAGCATTGGGGAGGCGCAAACTTAGCTGCCACTAGACATCAAGCAGCTGAAACCAACATGCAAGGCCGCATCACTAGGTGTGGAAGTCAATGCTGTTTTTGCGTTAAACGCACCTGCTATAGTCTAGAGTAGGACTCAACATGGCGCCAACAAATGCGCCGCAATCTCCCAAGTCTAGCTATTTATCCCTGCCTGTAATAACAATCCAAGTCTATCCACAAAGCGTGACGCCTCTTTGTAGTTTGTTCTTGACCTCGCGCCCTCACTGTGAGGACTCCAGAGTCGAGGCTCGTAGGATTTGGCAGTGGTTTAGTTAGAGAACCCACTCCACTCGTCCCAGTCACCTCCCTCAGCCCCCTCGTTCTCATCCTCAGCCGACATAAGTCCTCCTCAGCCGACATGATCTGGTCCTCCTCGAGACCTCAACAGGCTCAGCAACACTGATCTCATCCTCAGACGAATTCTCCTCCTCAATCATTATATCCTGCTTCTCTTCAGCAGAATCAGCAGTCTCAGCCTCGTCCTCAGTCATCATAACCTGGTCATCCTCGACAAGCTCAGTAGGCTCAACCTCCTCGTCAACAGACTCAGCGGAGTCGACCTCCTGGTCAACAGGTTCATCAGACATGACCTGCTCCTCGTCGACAAATTCGGCACAGTCGACCTCCTCGTCAACAAGTTCATCGGCCTGAGCCTCCTCGTCAACAAGTTGAAGAATGTCAACTTGGTCAAGCTCCTCCTCTTCCTGGGCGTTCTCACTGTCCTGGACGTCCTCTTCTTCTTGGGCGTCCACTTCTTCTTGGTCGCCATGACTCTCCTGGGAGCCCTCTTCTTCCTGGACGTTCTCATCTTCCTGGGCGTCCTCTTCTTCTTGGGAGTCCTCACTCTCCTGGGCGTCTTCTTCTTCTTGGGCGTCCTCTTCTTCTAGGACGTCCTCTTCTTCCTGGGCGTCCTCTCCTTCTTGGTCGCCATGACTCTCCTGGGCGTCCTCTTCTTCTTGGGCGTCCTCTTCTTCCTGGGCGTCCTCCTCTTCTTGCGCGTCGCCACTCTCCTGGGGAACCTCACTCTCCCCATCATTTTCGTCATCATCATCATCATCATCATCATCATCAACACACTCCGCACAGCACTTATCCTCTCCCTCAACACAAACAACCCAATCGGCCTCGCTCCACAGCCACGGCTCCTGCTCCGCCTCGCTGGCCAAGTTCGCCGCCCACTCCCAGACACTAGGGACATAGACGAACGGCCGGCCGCGGGCGGCCGCATACATCTTGGCACGCACCGGACTCGCCGCCATGTCAGCGAACTCGATCGTAGAAGGGTGGTCGGCGCCAGCGAGGTTACGCCACACGTCAGCTGCACGCCGCGCCAGCGCGCGCGCCCGCGCCTTGTCGCCGACGGATGCCGCCAGCTGGGCCGCGGCGCTGTAGGCCTCTGCGAGCCGCGTGTCGGTGATGCGCTCGGCGCGCAGCAGGGTGATGAGCTCGTGTGCCTCCTCCAGGGAAGCCAGCGGCCGCGGGGTGAACGTGCCGTGGCGCTGGGCCAGCTCGCAGTCCGCTAGCTTGGTTTGTGATTGGGCGCTGTCGTCAGTGTGTGCGAGGCCCTCGCCGCGCAGCGCGCGGATCTGCGCCAGGCGGCGGTCGCTGGCGGCCACGGCGCCGGGCTTGGCCGACGTGCACAGCGAGCACTTGCAGGCGAAGCCAAAGTGCTCGCGCAGGAACGCCTGGCGGGCGGCCACGCCGGGCGAGCGCACCGTGCTGCAGTGCGCGCCGATGTAGCAGAGGGCCAGTTCGTCGCCCTTGGGGATGTTGCGCGCGGCGTGCAGTGTCAGGCGGCCCGTGGAAGGGTTCCACGCGTGCTGCACGTTGGGCCGGCACGTGTGGTTGAGGCGCGCGGCTGTGGGGAAGACGCCCGAGGTTGGGATGGCTGTGCCGGTGAGCTGCAGCGCGTTGCTCTTGAAGATGGAGACGGGCGAGGCGCGCGACTCGCCGGGCTCGTGGCCCTCGCCGGTCAGCGCGTAGAAGGCGCGGCGGCCGTGGGTCGGGCACTTGTGCGCGCCGAAGTTGTACAGCTGCGCCGCCAAGACGCTGTATATAGATTGCCGCCCTGAGAGGATGTCGTCGGTGTACTCGACTGTGACGAGCGGAAGCTCGCTGGCCAGGCGCGTGCCCTTGGGGATGACGCGTGTGGCGAAGGTGCCGATGCCCTTGCCGGGCGCGGGCTTCTGGGTGAACGGTTGGTCATTGGCGGCCTCTCCGTGGGCGGTGCTGGCGCGGTCGTTGGTGCCAGTGCAGTTGCCGCGTTTGCTGGAAGTGTTTTTACCGATCTTGGCTTTCTTGTTGCTGCCTTTGCCGGTGTCTGGGGCTGTTCGCTTGGCCCGGCGTGTTGTTATGGCGGGCGGCTGGGGGTGGCCGTCGTCTTCATCAACATATTTTTCGTCGTGCGTCTGGCCGTTGAACCACTTGGCGGCGAGGTCGAGCTCGGCGCGCAGCCAGCAGCCGGCCTGGTCGATGCGGGTCATGTCAGGGCAGCGGACCTCCCAGTCCCAGGGGCAGTCCCAGCGGTAGATGATGTTGTTGAAGACATCGTGGGTCTCGGCCAGGGCACTCACGTCTTGTATAATGTCGCAGATGCCGACGTTGGCAGCCGTGACGGTCGAACTGAAGCGCAGAAAGTGGTCGCAGCGGTGCGGGAGCTGTGTGCGCCTTCCGTCGCGGAAGAGGATGGCGGCGTCGGTCGAGTCGGGCTGCCACAAGATTGCGTCGGACGCGCCGTCGACGACCTGGCCGCCCTCGAGCCGGAGCCCGTAGTGGCGCAGCACGGCTGAGAGGAAGACTTCGTATTGCTCTTGGTTGTCGCTCGTGTAGTCGAGCGGCGGGAACACGTCGAAGCCCGTCGTGGGCGCCATGTTGGCGGTGGAGAGGTTAAGACTGTGAGGCGTGTCAGCTGTGCTTTCCACGCTAATGTGCTGGTTGAGAATCATGCTGGCCATACGTTTGGCGACGGAGATGTCGCTGGTTAATGTTGCTCGTCGTTGGTTCGCAGCTGTAGAGGTAAAGCTCAGAACGAGGTTGTGGTGATGCGGGGACAGGAAGACGTGCTGCAAGTAAGGAAGCGACTGTCAAGTGTTCTGTAGAATTGACGAGAAATCGCGTGAGGAGGGGTTGTGGTTATGCGTGAAGGAAAGTGAGTGCCGATTGTTCAGTGCGGAGTGTGTTCAGTGCGGATTTTTCAGTCCGGATTTTTCAGTGCGACTATTCAGGGTCAGATGGTGAAGGGAAAGTGAGAGGCTAACCCAATTCCGAGAAGGGATGGAATACATGTGGCGAATCCCAGACATTGCTGGCCGCAACTCGAACTTGCAGAATCTTGCAGGTTTGCTGGTGAACAAACGGCGTCCCTGTTTTGCTGCCTATGGGAAGTGCCTTACGCCTGGCGATTCCAGTTGACGAACATAGGTAGGAACGCTATTCTCTTGATGTTTCCCCTCCTTTTCTATCTGCTTTCCTCTGATTCCCTGCCTTACCATATCTGAGAGGCCAATAGCTACAAACAGCGAAACGACACCCGGACTCGACGTATCAAGTTCTCGTAATAGTAATGCTATCCCGTATTAAATTACGGTTTCGACTTCGACCTGCAAATATCGGCCCCCGGAGCAGTACGGCGCTAACAAGAGGTTTTGTTCTTGACAAATCTTGCGGTGCGCGGCCTGCCTCAGCCATACCATGCGCGCGTAATTTTGTACGGGAATCTAGGAAAGGGAATTACCGGCAACGCAACAGATGGAAAGCTGACTGACTTGGGGAAACCACACAGAGTGCAACTGTTGCAGCTACGTGACGCAATTGATTGGCCAATACTGCTCCCCCCCTTGAGATCAATAAGAACAAGTCCAGATTCCCCGAACGAATTAATGGGTACTCAGCTGTTATCTTGCGCCCATTGGTCATCCTCCAGGCCAGCTCGTCCCATTACGTAGTTGGTTTCAAGGTTGCGAGGCTGACAGCTGTTTGATTACGGGGAGGTTGGCATGTAATTAACAATCAGATACTACCCTCCCAAAGCCAACAGGAGCCCAATGGTACGTTTATATTCATTTATCCATCTAGCCTGTAACATCCAAGGGCAGAGCTACTAATTAAATTACCACATCCATAGAGACAGAAACTTCTCCGTGTCGAGATGC